GTACCCGCCGCTTGTTATCTCTACTACTCAGTTCCTTGGAAACTAGGTAACACTAATGTTTACTTGGTCAGACCACTTTCCTACTTGGTTAAATTTACAAATGACAGGACCGCCTGCCTAAAAAGGATCCAGACCTTAAAATAGTTCAAATACCGATTGGATAAATGGCTGACTGATCGTCTATCCTGGAAACAGACAACCAGTCGTCCAGGGGCATAGGCGGCGTGACTAACCATCCGTACCTGTCTGCAACTATCGGCCATGTAAAACAGTCGGTCTAGTGAACAATTGGATATTAGAATATGGAATACTTAGACAAATTTGAGGCAAAACAAAAATTCATTAAAAAGAAGCCGGTCATTAAAGACCGGCAAAATATTCAAAGCCCTGGCCCCCTGGCCGGGTAAATACAAAACAAACGGCACGCAGGCCGTGGAAAGAATACATAAAGCTTAAGAAGGGGGCAGATCTTCAATATTAGCAGCTGCCGCCTGGTCAGCACTCTTCTTGCTGGACTCGGCTTCAGCTGCATCCTTTTTTGATGCCTTACCCCCAAGCGGCACAAGCGCCACTACCGGCTCCTCCTCCTCCAACGCTTCCTCCAACGCCTCTTCCTCAGCAGCCGCCAGGATCTCCTGATTATATGTATCTGAACACTGGCGGTACGTTTTTTCCCAAGAGGCAAAGTCAGCATTGGGGAAGAGGCGGCCCCAAGTCATTCGCTGAATTTGAGCGGAGTCTTCCATCATCTCCCGGACCAGCTCTTTCTTCTCTTGCTCGGCCTTTTCCGAGAGCTCTTGGGTAAGACTCTTCTCTTGGGTCACCAGGCGTTCTTTTACGCTGGCCAAGGATTTCTCCAAGGCTTCGTAAGAGTACATTTTTAGGCGAAGAGGTTTCAGCTCGGCCTTGAGATTGGTGATGGTCGCCTCCAGCTCGCCATTCCTCTTCTGGGTCGCCTCTAACTGAGCCCGAACAGCGGCGGTAGCCTGCACCTGATAATAAAGAATATCAATGGTCAGAACTTCATTTTGGGCAATTTGAAACATTGCCTTATCACAGTCAGAGGCGGCCATAGCTTTTGCAGCCTTTACTTCTTTGTTCTTCCGATCAAGCGGCTTGCGAAGGACGTTCACTCGGAGCAGGGCCTAAGTACAAAGGAACAGGCGTCAGTTTCCAAACAAAAAGAAAACAGGCGTCCAGAAATTCAAATACTCAAAAATATGCTTATACCTCAGCAAGGACCCCTGCAATCCCGTCTAGGTCAAGGGTGCCGACACCCCTGACCGCCTCCCTTTCAGCTGGAGGAACTGCCCTGATCATAGACTTGGCCATCTCTACCAAGTTAGGCTCCTGAGGGCCGGCTGCATCAAGCATAAACAAACGGATTAGACCTAGTAAAAAAGGGAGCGAGTCTAAAATTTACAAGGACAACTTCTTACTTCTAGGCGGCCCAGTTGGAGTTTTAGAAGAAGTGGTCGGCTGTTTCTCAGCCGCCACATGTTTCCTGGCAGAACCAGGAGAGCTCCCAACAGTCGTCTTCCGGGCCTTGGGGTCCGGCTGTTGGGAAGATGAAGCTCTTGGAGCACCCGTCTAAAAAAGAAGAAAAAAATTCAGTATATGCATAAACACAACTCCAAAAAGAGGGTGAAAGGTTCGGAGCTCACCAAGGGTGCCCCCTTCTTGGGGGAGTCGGTTGAAGCTTGTTGCATGATAGAGGCCCGCAACATGGCCGCCGCAGTCTTGGAGGCGGTGATTTTGCTCATGGCGTCAGCTGCAAAAACAAACGGCAAAGTTAATAAAAGTCATAACAAGAAATGTATGGAACAACAGAGTATTCGACAGGCCGACTACCTCTTGAGCACCGACTGCTAAGGCCACAGGCGGCCAAAAAGTACTCGTCGTAGAGCCATTTGAAGCTCGGGACGCACTGCAGGGGTACTTGCTCTCGTACCCCTGAAGTAGAGTCAACCCTCGACTCTATTTTAAAGAGTCCTTTATCAAGGATCTCTTTCCTAGCCTTGGGGGGAACAGGCGGCATGTTACGGCCGCCTGCAAGAAGGGGCGGATTCCTGTTCCACCTATTGAAGCGCTTGTTCAGCTCAATGTCTGAACTCTCAATGATGAGGAAGGTGCTCCGCCAGTCATTCCACTTGTTTGCTTTACCTCTCGTCATGAGGTAGCCCCTGTGGCTTGTCAATTGATACCATCCGGTACCGCCTGTCTTAGGGGTCCGGCTGAGATAGTTCATATGGGCGAAAGCCTCGAAGCTCGGCTCCACCCCGTGCAGTTCGCACCCGGCCACATAGCCGAGTACGTTGACCCAGGAGTTTGGGGCTAACTGCCATAACCCCAACTCATACCCATCCAAGATCCGCTGAACAGCCGGATGTAATGGGAAGCGAAGCCCTGCCTTGATGGCCGCCTCGTAGCAGCCAAAGCAGGCGCTATCATAACTGGAACCAGCCGGCCAGACGACTGTTCTTCTGGATCCGGCACAAATACTAGAAAGTCGGGGCCCATGGTGTGGTTTGCAATAAAGCTTTCCACTTTCTCTTGCATGGCTGTGATCCGGCCCCGAGGTACCGTGCAGTAGTAGGGAGTATTTAGCTCTCGGTAAGAGGCGGATGGCTCCGCCCAATTGTCCCCCTTCTCAACTGCGTGAGAAAGTCTCGCCTCTTGCAGGCGGCTGTTTTTCTCTTCTGTGTCCAAAGAAGCATGGCCAGAAGAGCTTGACTCGGAATCGCCCTCTGATGAGTCCGAAGAGGACGACTCCTCCCCACTCCCAGAGGGGCCCGCCTCCTCTCTTTGAAAAGGAGCAGAATTGTTAACTGTTAAATGGGAAGGGGTCACTATGACTCCCCCCACAGAATTGTCGGCATTCAGGTCGCCTTGTTTCACTTCCACATCTGGCGCCTGGTCAGATGTTTCACTAAGCGGCACCCTGTGGGAGGAGCCGTCTGAATTTGAGATCCTAGCAGTCTTTTTCGTTATGGCCATCCTGCTCTGCATAGACACAGATACAGTCGGACTTTGTATAAAGGGCAAAGATGGGTCTGGAAAAGGGCAGGCGGCACTCCTAGTCCTAGATTCAGCCGTCCCCGGTGACCGGCTGATCACTAACCTAGGTCGTGTCGTGTGCTTCCGTGGTGCCATTTCAAAAAATAAAAAGAAAATTAAGAGTAAGAGAACCGACAGTTACCTGAACGAGTGACGGTTGATGAAGTTCTGAAAATCCTGTGCAGGCGGCTTGTCAGAACAGGCGGTAGGCAGAAAAGGTCCGAAATGTCAGAGCAAGTTCAGGGGTCCGAATGTTCTCAAAAAGTTCTCAAAGTGTGAAAATGACTCAAGACAATCCTCCCTTATATAGGCGAAGTGAGAAGGCGAAGGGTCACTTTCAGAATTCAAAATTTGGGCGGGAAAATCTCTCGTCCTTTCGCCGACTGACACCTGTAGAAGGTCGCCGCCTGTTACAGTGCGACACCTGTCACAGGTAACACGTGACCAATCACGTGCCACCTGTGAGGGGCAAATGATTAGGGGATTTTGCTCCCACCAATCGGAATGCGCCACGTGGGCCAATCAGGTCCTGCCAAGTGTCCCCCAGTTGGAACTGTCAGGGCTTGTCACGTGGCACGCGCTTATTCGTCCACCTTGGACCTATTATGTCATGACATGTGGCATACTCCATGCCTAATGGAGAAACCAGCCACCCAGGCCCAACTTCCGAGGGAAGCCCAATCGGCCCTAGGTTAATCTAAACCTAGGATGGGCACGTTTCCCAAGGTTATAAATACCTCCCTTAATCCTCATTAAGGGGGGATTACGAAAAAAACACATTAATTACACCCAGTAATAACCGGCTGATCTCGCTAACAAAGCAGATTACCTACATTAAACACTCTCACCTAGAGAGACCCAATCACTTTAATTTCCGCATTAATTACTCCTTAATCAAGTACTAACTTGACCGTTGGAGGCGGAGCTCCCACCACCAGGAGTCTCCGTTATTTTGCAGGTACAGGCGTCCGGTTCCAATCTCGGAATTGTAACTCTCCCGCAGGACATCAGAAAACCCCGAAACACTAGTAATTTCCCATATTGAAACACTTGAAAGTCCCTTTACAAAAGTATCATAATGTAAAATGTGCCTTGTGTTACAAACTACAAGAACTTTTAAAAATGGTTTGCAAAGGAATTAGCCCACTTGGTATGTCAAAAAGAGACACTAGTACATAGAATGAAAGGCAAATAATAAAAGCAAAATAAAACAAGGATGACGAGGAAATCGAACAAGATATTGTTGATGCATCTAATATCTTTGACTACCCCATTTATGTACAAACACCTGGCCTTAGATAGTTAAATCTAATACTCGCTTCTTTTCTTCTTTTAACCTAACAAAAGCCACAGATGCTCATTATTACCAACGGTGTACATGCACGTAGCACACCATCTTCAACGCGTATGCTCTTACATCCTCATGTCCGTCATCAACACCTCATTATACGAGGGTTGTTCCTTTCATGGCCAGATCGGAACTTCGATATGAACCATGGCCCACGGGTTGTACGTCGACTTCATCCATGGCTGAATTGGAACTTTGTTATGATTCTTATGAACCATGGGTTATGAGTCTTATGACCCCTACTTGACCAATAGTTGGTCAAATTGTTTCACTATAAAAGTTTTTTAGAAGAAAAGGTACAAAGAAAAAAATTTCTTCTCAAAATTTTATCCATTTCAATGAAGAGGTCATATTATTATAATTACGGTTGCTACATCCTTTTCAGGATGCCATTAAGCATCAAATATTGAAAGTACACTGGAGATAGAAGGCCAGAGCGGTTGGCTAGTTTTTTAATATCCAGGCCTGAGCCCAAGGACTAAATCTCATCATACGGAAAAAAAAAATGGTGCATTTGCAACGACATTTCAACGCCTTCAAGTACCTGAAGGCACTTCCAACATTTTCATACAGAACTTTGCAAAAGATTTCATACTTCTTTCAATCACTGGCATACCTAGTTGGACCTCATCCTTCGATTAAGGAATTTAAAAGAACAAAAAAGGCACAACAAAATTGTTTCCGGCCTATAATAAGGCAAAAGTATGTTTTGCCTCTTACCATTTCTCATCACATTTAAGTGAGCTCAAGGTAACAAAAAGTTCCTCAAGAAGAAAAATAAATAAAAAGAGGGCTAAGAAGCTTACATATCCATTAGCAAATAACTCTACATTGAAATCAAACCAATATTATATGTTTCACCGGGTTGCATTAGAGAGGGGAATTCCGTCAGAGGTCACTGGAAGGGAGATGTAGACGGGCTAACAACAATATGTCTAAGAGGGTGCTCTACGTCCCTGCCACCAGCATGCTTGACAAACTCCTTAGGAGAATGGAAGGTCCCGTGACAAACGCACATTATGCGCACTTCTTCTCCTTTCCCGTACTTGTATAAGATCCCTTCCACCTTTCTACCATTTGGACCATCTCCTATCGTGAACACACATGGCATATCTTCTATCCCACCCGATGCTGTCTCTTTCTTCTTATTGTCGGTGCTCTCAGGCTGCTTAGATGAGCTCTCCGGTTCAGGCCTGCTAGCTCGGTGGAAAGGGTTGTCTTTGGTTCCCGAGGGCCCCATGGTTTCTTGGCTATCTCGGTCTGGTAGGGAATGAGTACTACTAGGTGGGCTTCTTGTATCACCACAGCTGCTCGATCCTATCAACATTAGAAATAACACAAGAAGATTTGAGAACCAATATAAACAGAAACCCATTTTTATTACCAACGCTTTAGATATAATTCATGAAACCTCAATTTCTGTATTTCAAAATTTTCAAGTGAGAACAAGTCCAGAACTTCCCATGTAGGAAAGTCGGCTCAGTGTACATCTAAAAATCTCCACAATGAGGTACTCATCAATATAAATGGAGCATGTAAACAAAAATATTCAACTCTATAACTTCCCATAGGCACGAGGTTATTGTAACCAAATGACAAAAATAAACAGTAAGAAGAGGTATAGGGAAGAAGCAAATGTATGCAGATTTACTTAACAAAATACAGAAGTTCCTTCCATTAATTCAAGGTCTAACCAACCTTGTTAATTCTGAAGTACCAGCTAGATATTGGACACAACTTTAATTTGAACTGAAATTAGTGAAATTAGCTACCCAGATCCTCATCTAATTAACCAAGATTTGAACTGCGTGAAAACCCTGGCAGCAGAACTACTAACTACGAAGTAATACACAAATGAGATTCCCAACATACACGTTTGCACATCTGACAAGAAACAAGTGATCCTTTTTGGTTCAACAACTACTTACTAACTAGTGAACTCAACACACAAGAGAAATAAATCAGCTCACAGGCTGCCTTAAAGATTGGCCTTTATAGTACCTGACTCTTTCTGCATGTACTACAGGCTACAGGAAACTATATACCTACCAAAATGCCACTGTGTTGTTTAAATTTGAAAAAAAATTCCGACACTTGAGATCAGAGGATACTTGGAGGACATCAGGTTTATAAAGTTCTAGAAACCGCAAAATCATATAAACCCACTGATCTTCAACTTTAATTTCTCTCAAGGTTTCCCCATCAGAACCTTATACCCCTAAGCTCCAATACATGAGACACATTCCAAAAGTAGATCCCGGAGGATGAAGTCTAGGCAAGCAATCCTAGGGAAGTAGAGAATTGAACACGAGAAAAAAATATTCCTGAAGACGTACTTCCAAATCCTTGGCTTTTATAGAAAAAGATCTTCTCAAGTTTCTCAATTGTTATGTAATAAAATGTCGTGTGTTAGCCTTTTTAAGAAAGATTACAGTAGGATATAAGGAATAAGATACAAATAAAATTAGTAGAAGTGAAATGTTAGGGTTGGAGGGGGAGAAGATTCACACTTTTGAGAAAGTGTCAAATTATTTTTCAAAATCTAAAACTAAACAACATGGAACCCATAAAAAAAAAATTACTGGTAAACAAAAAATAAAAATAAAAAAAGGAAGGACGCAAAATCTCTCAGTCTGGTTAACAAGGATTGATGGCGTGCTGAAAAGGAGATTGAAGATCAAAAATTGAAAGATATGGTTTGCACTTGAAAATGTTGGATAAACCTAATTCAGAGCCAGAGAGAGTGATCAGAAACAAGAGGCAACTGTAATAAATGACACACACTCAGATGATTTACTGTCGGAAAAAGAAATGGCATGTTTAGTCAATCTATACAGATTGCCTGTTCTCCCTACTTCCTATCCACGAAATCACTCTTGCAATGAGGTCTTCGTTTCCACTCAACAAAAAGACACCTTATGTGCCCATCCTAGAAAAAGAGGCCTACTTCTGCTCATTCAGTTTGGAACCAAATGGTTTAAGATTGCAAAGAGTTCCCACAGAATCTTGGCATATAACCGAATTTGTGAGAAAGAAATCGCGTAGTCCAAGTGATACTAAAGTTTCATTGAAATTAAAAATACAGAGTAGTCGTTATCAGATGAGAAAAGGAGAAATTTTAATGTCGCACATAAGTAAAAAGAAACCAAAATGTCCATATATACCTCTTTGCCAGCATAGTAAATCAAGCAATAATCATCGTATCATTCCCAATCCTGACAAACCAATAAAGATCAGAAATTTATGTTTGCTATGGATCTGATTTACTTCTACACATCACCATCTATGTACTCCCAAGCGCCTTTCTTAGTGGAAACAAACTATTATTACTTGGAAAAACAAAATACAGTTTCTTACTCCAAGTGCAAATGACATACCAGAGAAGACAATCTTCTCTGGTGACAGTTGAAAACTGCAGTTTAGTGATTGCAGCATCACCCTCCACTGTCAAGAAATGGAAAGCTAAGCCAATGACCAGACTAATGAGGGAGATATGTCATCAGGAAAGTTATGGTAATCATAATTGAGTATAAATGGAAACAAATTAAGGATCTCACTTAAGTTAAAGGAAACTTCAAACAACGAAACATGAAACGGTATCCTCAAAATATCTTGGAGAGTTAAATTATAACGAGAAGACCACAAATAGCAAGCAATAGAAGAACAAAAGACTATTGCAATTGGCTGGAAACGGCGACAAACTAAACATCCCACTCCAACCAATTGAAACAATGACGAATTATCAAGGGATTCAAGGCATTTTACCCGTGCAAACAACTATAATAATCCAAAATTTGAAGTTTAAATAAAAAGCAACTTGATACACTCGAACAAAATTACAGCATAGAGAGAAGATACAATAACAGAAATCCAAAAGCAATTTTTTAACTTCCAACCTAACTTTCACAGACACAATACCAAATCCAATCCAATTCAATTCAAATTGCAGCACAGAAACTATAAAATCAACAAGAACACACCATCGATCGAGGATCCTAACACAAACAATATAAAGAATTCAAGATGCACTGTACATAACAAGCAGATATAACAAGATCAACCTGAAAACATACATAATCAATCAAAAAAAACTAGGGCTTGATTAATTTCAATCAATAAAAGAAAATGATACCTTGATGGGTTTTACTCTCAAGCTCAGAGGCGTCAGAGGAAGTACCCCCTTGTGACTCCCCTGAGCCCTGAGACGAACCCTGCTGCGGTTGCACCTGCACCTGCACCTGCGCCTGTGCCTGAGCCTGAGCCTGAGCCTGAGCTTGATCCTGAGCAATCAAGAACCCTTGCAAACTACCAAAAGTAGTTCTTCTCCCTTTAACCTCCAAATTATTACTAGGTGGAGGTGGTTTAGATGACCCAAAAAAATTCCCCATTGATGAACCAATTAACTTACTAGTTAACCCCAAACATTGTTGCTCCCTTTCTAACCTAGCCCTCAACTTCAACCCCTCAACCCCTTTTTCCTCCCCACCACTACCTCCACTACCCCCAACACCCCCAGTTTCCTTCAAAACCCTCTGCTTCTCGGACCGGCGCCGCTTCGCCTCCATCCTCCTCAATGTCTGCATCTCCTTCCTCTTCCTCCACTCCTCCTCCGTCTCAACCGGCAAGGAGGAGGTTCTAACCAGATTATTATTACTATTACTATTATTTCCCGGGGTTGGCGGTAACGCCACCCCGGTATCATCCTCCCTAAACAAAGGCATAGTACCAGCAATTGATGATGACCTTATTAAACCCCCCAAATTTTTAGACTTATCTACCCCAAATTTACCCCCTAATGATAAACCAAGTCCAAGATTCAAACCCTCATCATCTTCTTCCTCTTCGCCTAATTTTGAATCATCTGATCTATTTCTTCCACCAGAATTTTTATTAGTATTATTTCCCAAAAATGTTTGCAAGAGATCTCTTGGATATTTGCTTATTTCTAATGATAAACTCTCCATTTCTTTGCTCCTATGTTTGCTACTATTACTACTGCTACTCATACTAAATCCTCTGCTAATATTCACTGTTTCACCCATTCCTTTTGAAGTACTACTTGAATATAGCTGAGATGAACTATCCATTCACTAATTTTAACTAAATCCCACCTAAATTCAGCAAAAACCCAGAAAATTTTCCATATTTTTTTGCTGTTTTCTCATCTTTTGCTGAGTAAAGTTTTGATCTTTGCTTCAATTTTGGGTTGAAACTGAAATTGAGAGAAACCCAGATTCAGAACAACCCAGAATTTAGATAAAAAAATTTATAAAAAAAATAGAAAATAAAAAAAGAATTATATTGGGTGAAATAATGAGTAGTAATACAAAGGAAAGAAGAAAGACAGGAAAAGAGACGGTTTTTGGTATTGGACTGTTAATCTTCAACACGTGGAGAACTCAACCCAGAAAACAACATAAAACGTTTTCTTGGGTTTTGTATGAAAGAAAGAAATTATCAATGGTTTTTTATTAAAAAAAAAAAAAAAAAAAAAAAAAGGAAAAAAATTCTCTCAAATGTTCAAAAATCATAGAGGGAAGAGAACTGTGAAAGCTTTCCTTTCTCCCTCTCTCTTTTTCTGCTTGTGAATGATTGGGGAGAAAGGGGTGAAAAATCAAATTCAAAAACTAAAAATTAATAAAGTTTAGTAAAATTAATAACTCTATAATTTTGTTTTTTAATCTTAGAATTAAAATTCAAGCATGTTTTTTTTAAAATTTTAACAATAATAGATTTTTGTATACAACGGATTTATAGTATTTATGGGCATGAAGTACTATCAAATTATCAATCAGTTAAAGTCAACTCCCTGTGAACAATGTACGGCTTGTTTACCCTTGTTTTTGTTTTTCTAACGAATTACCTAATCAATTTTACTTAGTTACTTTTTTGTCGAAAGAAAAGTACGGCTCATATACGTTTTTTTAGCGGGTTATAATCAATTTTACTTTATCTCTTTAATGTCAATTTTGTATTTTTTTTTTAATCTCCTTTAACACAACATTGTATAGTGTACATAAAACATATACTCCTTTTAACACACCAATTGATTTTATATATAGAACCGAAAGGAAATGTAGGAATCATCTTACCTTTTCTTTTCTTTTTTTTTTGACATAAGGAATCATCTTACTTAAACATTGCTCACTTCACATGAGTATAATTTAATTAAAATAATGTATTTATTGAATTTGATTTGTGCTAATCAAAGAAATTAATCAATAAGTGTGTTCTTCCTAATATAAAACTATGCATTATTCAAATAAATTGGACAAACAAATTTTAATGAAAAAGTTGTTTAATTTTATTTCCTATGTCCCAAAATAAAGAGCTCGATTTTATTATCATAGACTTCATCGTCAAACATTAAAATCTTTGATCAAATATTCTCATTAATATATAATCATGTGAGATATTCATCTCCAAGTGTTTTTTTATGATATCAAAATTTTACAATTATTATTAACATGTAAGTAAAAGTATCGATGGTCATATTATATTTAAAGACCTGCAAAATAAAAATAAGCACATCATTATATGATAAAGGGAGTGTTTTATTAGTAAACATTTTAGATGGTACTCAACTCATGAGATCCATTATTCAAAAAAAACAATCTCATGAGATCAAAATTTCTCTATATTTGCTCAATCTCGTTTACATCATTGCACTTCATGTTCTTTATACTTGATAATAGGGGAAAAGTACAAGAATAACAATAGTACCCTTCAATTGAGGAAGTACTAATGAAGGTTTGATATGTATTTACAAATATATATCAAACTTTAAAATATTAAAAAGTATTGTAAGCACATGGGGGTGAGAGAAAGTAGGAGAGAGATTAACAAGTGGGACCAATTTTTAAATGTACCACTAAAAACTTATATAATGTCATTGAATATGTAGTTATATTATTTCTATGCGTAGTTGGTAATACTAAATGAATTTATAGTACCATTGAATGAATATATAGTACCACTGAATGTTCAATGATACTATTTGATCATCTAGTGATACTATTAATCACTCAATGGTACACTTAAATCCAGCACGTGGGGGTAAGAGAAAAGGAGGAGAGAAATGGGTAAATTTCATGCGAAATGTCTCAAATGCCCCTTGATATGTATATACAAGTACCTATCAAACCTCCCTTTGGAAGGCCTCCCCTTCAATTAGGTAAGGAAATTGCCAAGAAATGCCATGTGGCTGCATTGATGCCATGACACGTTGAGCATCCCTGCACATCTATTACCTAATAAGATTTGATTACATCAGATAATATAATTAATCCAGAACCCTATTTCCAACAATAAGTAAATCGAGTAGAAATTCTTAATTTTTTATTTCTTGCAGTAATAATAAATAAATAAATAATAAAAAAAAATAGAGTTTCAAGAAATATTTTAATCAAAAAAAATGTAAGAGAAGCAAGTAGTGTGGGGCTGTCCCAGGGAAGTCGCAGATAGTATGACACGCGTCCAGAAAACATGAGAATAGGCAATAATAAACACGTGTCAAGTGGGAATGCAAAGTACCAGCATCAACCACGTGTCCTTAACCCGTCTCCTAGCCGCAGCGTTTTCTCTCTCATCATCATTGTATAATTCACTCTACTACGGAGTACTTTATTCTTTTGCAATGTCATCAACAAATATCAGCCATTGATTTTTTTTTAATTTTTTTTTTATTAGGCGGTCTAGATTTCTCCTTTGTAATCTACGTAAGTACGTAGTACGTACTCGTATATCTTGATATGTTGGGTTGGTCAACTATAAATTGTTTTTATAAATTAATTTACTGTTTTTTCATCGTATACCTCTAAGATTTTTTTTATTTATTCACCATATACCTCTAACCTTTTTTAAATTCATCATATACTCTCGAGTTTTCAGAAAAATACACCATATCCTTGATGAATAATGATTGTTATTTTCGTCATTATCCCGAAACCACCCTAAATACATACCCTTGCCCCTACCACCACACACATTCCTTTTTCCACCCCCAAAACCACCCTAAATTTCCCTTTCTCATCCTCAAAATCAATCATACGGATATGATTATAGAGATTTAGAGTGGTTTCGGGGGTTGAAGAATGGGAGGAGTGGTTTCGGAGATGAGGGAGAGAGATATAAGATGGTTTCGATGCATAATTAACAAAATTTCAATTATTTTGTTGTCATTAGGGGTATATGGTGAATATTTGTAACAACTTAGAGGTATATGGTGAATTTGAAAATTTTCAGGGGTACATAGTGAAATAACAAAAAAAACTTTGGAGTATATGGTGAAAAAACCGATTATTTATTAATTCTAAGTAGGAAAAAAAAATAACTTAGTACGTTTTTTTTTTTTTTTTTTTTTTGAAGAAATCGTACAAAATTATTTTACTACGGAGAAATCGGGAATGTGTAATACATCGGAAACAATAATACATACGAAGTACTTGTATAATTATCTTAAGTTATTATATCAATAATTTTTGAAACTAAATGATCAACTTAAATTAACCAAGGATGAAAAAAAAAAAAAAAAAAAAGAAACACTGAAAAACATAGGTAATGTATACTTTAATTTGTCACATACACTAATGATTTAGTTGCAGTTCGATCGTTGTTGTAATAGACTAATAGGTAAACCTTATTACTCTATCATTTATGCAAAAACGTTAATTATCCAATATGTTACGTGATTCACTAATTGATGAATTTGCTAAATGGAGTATCTTAATTGTAAAATCGTTAAAGAAGGGATTTAATCTATATGATTATGATTTATCTATAAAAGAAATAATTACTAGTATTTTTACATTATTAACAGTCTTTAACCAATACAAATAAAAAAAAAATACAAATCTAGTTTTGCACAAATCAAAGTATCTACTATATATTATCGCATTAATCTACTATAATTTGTAGGCGGCGTATTATCATTTAAAAAGAATTGACTTTTACTCCATATAAAAGTATATCATGCGGAGTCTCTACCTTGATGTGGTGTCGCATAATGTAAGTTAATGGTGAAGTGACAAATTTTAATGTAAATCAATCAATATCAACAAGTACACCACAATCAAATATAGAAAATTAATTGAAGAAACAATTTTTGAAAATTTTACAATAATCATTTGAAATATGACTATCATAATGTTTTAATGATTATATAGTTCATAATTGACATATTTTTTCCACATAATTAGTTATATTACTTTATTAATAGTATTAAATAGTATTATCAACATTTTTTGGATTTATCAAATTTTTAGTTTCATTTATGTAATTTTTATTCTTATTTTATAATTTCTCAAAAAATATTTATTTTATGTTGGATTAAAATTTTCAAAATTTAAATTTACATTGTATATATTATAAGACTAATTGTGGTCATTTTATAACGTGAAAAAATAAACCGACTATATTATATATCATTAAAATAATATGTTAGTCATTTTTCAAATGACCGCTGTAAAATCACCTAACAATTTTGGCATTGTTGGCCCTATTAATTTACCCTAAACTCTCTCTTCTAATATTATACGAAGTGTATATATATATATATATATATATAACACATTGTGCAATATAACGCAAAAAATTTATAAAAATTCTAAATATGTCCGAATTCACTTACAAATACATACATATAACTATTGTAGTAAAATGCAATAATTGTATTTTTTATTTTTTTTAAACTCCATACACACACCCACTCTAAAAGGCTCCATAACACATGTAAAACTCAGTGCAACAGTATTGATATCTGATGTATCATTCTTGAAAATCAAGTGTTCATAGGTGAGGCAGTCTTATATCTCCGCCACCCAACCTTGAGATGAAGAGTTCAATTCTATATTTCTAAATTAAAAATTTAAGGTGATAAAGAGGTTGGGTGGCTTTAATAGTATGAGAGAGCAAGGACGATAATGTAGAACATATTATTTTACATATTTTCTTTGTATATCAAAGAAGAGAAAAAAAAGAAAAAGAAAAACGTCCCACTCCAAATCATTTTCCTTTTCTTTATCATATTTATCTCCCTTTTTCCCAAAGAACTTAGTTTTTCTAAAAGACCTTTTTATCATAGCATATAATTAGTACTAGTACCATATAAATTGCGTCATATTCAATCATACATTTATGAAGCATACGTACGTAACAAGGAAATTGCAACAATGCAAGTTGTAGATTAAGCTGAGGTGTGAAACTTTGGTATGGGTGTAGGAAGTTTAGATTGCAAGGATAATGAGAGATCGAGTACGATACATACATAATATCTTTTCCGATTTATTACTTGTATTTGACGACTGTAATAATACACCAAACATGCTCCTATAATTATTCGAATGAGCTCATAATTTTTACCATTTTTAATTAAGTTAGGATAGAGGCTTAACTAGAAACACTATGGTGCCATATTAAGTTATTGACCACTTTTGATTAGGTAATCTATCTATTTGTCGAGCTATGATAAATTTTTTACATTTGTTCCATCAAAACATCCCCATGTCGTAATAATTAACAATTAGATTTAATTTTATTGTTCTAGATACTCCCATCGTCTTACATTAATCGCAATAATTTAATCAGCACATGGCTTTATACTATTATAAGAAAGCTAGTAGGGACTAGTGAGACAGTCAAAGTACATACGTATTGAAAATTGTACGTCAAAAATCAAATAAGCTGGATTTTAATCGAAAATCCGTTTCTATTTAAGTGCATCATTTACCTAATATGGAAATAACATAATAGTTGCACCATTTCCTTATTAAGTACGAGTACTCCATTTTTTTTTCTTACAAAATCTTTCATATGCCCCTACTTTTTCCCCTAAATCATTGTGCTAAAAAGAAATAATGCAACTAAATAGAAATGTGATAACAATATAAATTTAAATTATAAAACATGTGTTGCACAACAACAACAACAACAACAACAAAAAAAAAATTATAAAATATGTTTCAATATATTTTTTTTCTATTTGACTTTTTGCAACATTTTTAACACACACATTGGTGAATTATTATCTCTAATATGCACTATAATAAAAACACTCTTTGAAACTACATATCAATAAAATCTAACGAATTCTCAAATGGATGGTTTTTTCTTATATATCAATAAATAGTTATGGTTAAAATTTCTCTCTTGGAATTCACTACTTCGTATTATAATTGGAACAAAAAAAAAATAAAAAAAATTACGCTTTACTTTTGTATTGTAGGTAATATATTCAACTTACTCCGTAGATAATTTAATTTTTTTTTTTTTTGGTGTTCCACCCGCTTCACCCTCTGGGCAAATATAGATTTGAGGGTTAATTATGGGTGATTAGGTTTTAATCCCTACCCCAATTGTTGTTATAAGGGTTCGAACATGCGGTTTTCCCTACCAATGTAGCCCTAGATAACTTAATTATTTGCTCCGTATAAAATAAGAAAAATACAAGTAATACGTTGTAACAAACAAGTACACAAAATGTCTACAAGTATATTAATTTGTTTAGAATGTTGTGTGGGCGAAGTACTCTATATAATCTCTATAGTAGGTCCGTCCTCCAATCCTCGGATTATCGACAGCAAGGCAAATAAGCAATAAGTTATAGAAAACGAAGATTAAGATTCCCGACATATACAAAAGCCACGTGTTATAACACATCTCTGTTTTGATTTGCAACTTGTGTATCGCGACAATTGTCAGTGACTTAGGTGGCACACTCCACCTTCCCACACTTATTCCACCCATTTTACCATTTTTGTATACTTCTTCCAACTTGTCCTCTTCAACTCTTTTGATAATTAATTAGGGAAATAAATTGACAGAATAATCTTAACTTTGCTCAATTCGCCTAAAATAATTTTAACTTTTGATTATTTTTTAATAATTCAAACTTTAATATGAATTTGCTTCTAATGGTCCCAACCGGTTATATTTATAACAAGTCATCTGACACGTGTCAAAACGTGATTGTTTAAATAAATAAATTAAAAAAAATTTAAATAACTAAAAAGTAAAAAAAAATATATATAATTAATTAAAAAACTTTAAAAGAATTTTTAAAAAATATAAAAAAAAAAAAAATAAATAAAAAACCCTCCACCAGCCCGGCCATCACTGCCACCACCGCCTAACCCCCATCTCGGTTTTCGGCACCTGGCCCACTCCCCGGCTAGCAGATCTCGGTCGGCGAAGCTTGGCCACCATACCCCTTTCCCCCTTCCACGAACAACCCCTACTCCCCAAATTCCCCCACCCCGACACGTCGCCTTAGCACCCTCCTCCCATTTCCCCCTCCCCGATCCATCGCATAAACGACCCTCCCTTCCCGGAATGACCCCCGTCCGATATTCGCCGGCCCCCAAAACCTTAAATTCAACAATAAACTACCTTGTAAACCCAACGGGAAGCCTACCTTGAATAACAAGCGAGATGGGCGCCAGCGCTGGAGAGGAGTAGGGTGAGCTGCACCGGCAGGGGAGGGGGAAAGGGGCCAGCGGGATAGTCGCTGGCCAACCAGGGGTCACCTAGGCGCCAGCCGTCGGAGGTGGGGGGTCAGGCAGGGCTGTGGGCGACGGTTGTTGCACTAGGGGTGTTTTTTTTTTTTAATAATTTTTTTAAATTAATTAATTAAATAATTAAATCAATAATATAAATTAAAATAAAAATTAAACTTATTTTTGACCAATCATGTAATGACACGTGTACAATAAATTTTTTTTTTGTAAAAAAATTACCTATTCAACAGGTTATTGGTCACCTGGGACCATTGAAAGAAAATTCATATTAAAGTTCGAATTATTAAAAAATTATCAAAAGTTGGGATTATTTTGGGCGAATCGAGCAAAGTTGGGATTATTCCTGTCAAATTTTCCTATTAGTTATTACTTCTTCCGCCTCTTATAGGATTGTTACAGGTGAGTCGAGTTGGACATGAGCTTGGTCGGCATGAGAGTCACTTATAGCAGTATTCTAATAAGCACAAAATTCATTCGATTTTAGATGAGATCATTATGAGTCTAGCATGACATGAGAAGCACAACAGTGGATATAAGACGTGCATGAAAATAGGACAAGGGTTGTGCATGAAGAACATTTTCAAAAACTATCTTTTTAAGTAAAACTTCCATGTTGAAGAAATTAAAGAAATCAAAAGGTATGGAATATGATAGCTTGTGACAATTATAGTCAATTTTGATAGCTCATCTAATCGGGGCTCATCCAACCACACTATCTTTTGAATCCCCTGTATATTAAGCCCAAGCCCTTATTGGAGATGATCTAAATAAATTACACATTTACTGAATGTACTGAAAGTTGGAACAATTCTTAAGGTTATGAAATGTAAGTCTTACCAATGCACTAGGCCAAGCAGGCAAGCGTGACTGGCTTTAACTCTTCTTTCCAATATCAAATTTCTCCTTTTTAGTTTTGAAGTATATATTTATTAAAGAGTTGTAATGTCATAAGAGAATTGAACAGGGCTTTAATGGTATGACTCTCACCTCCTAATTATGAAATTGAAGGCATGGTTCCTGTACCCCTATCTTATTAGCCAGTGATTTATTGTAGTTATTGTCTCATTTGGATTGAAGTTACATATAATTCTAAATAACTAAGATTTCATCACGCGCAATCACATACACATTTCACTATACATATTTTATCGATTTTTCACCATATACCTCTGAGTTATTTTTTTTATTCACCAAATACCCATAAAATTTTCAAATTTACCATATACACTTGAGTTTCACAAAAATGTTACGAAATGCCTTTAATGATTAACGGCAGTTAACTCCGTTAGTCATTAAGGCTAAATTTTCCACGTGGTGATAAATGATTGTCTGCCTTTTAAATTAATTAAATTTTAAAATAATTTAATTAATTATCAAAAAATAAAGAAACAAAAAACCCACCACCAAAGCAAAGCCCAGCCAGCCAGCCACTATGTCCCCGCAACCCCCCACCGGCGCGGATTCGCTTGAACCCCGGTGCCGGCGCAACCCAGACCTCAATACCCCACCTACCGGTGAACCACCTTTCCTTCCCCTGAACCACCTTCTCCCGGATCGTAAAAACCCCCTTTTCTCTCCCTCAAAAAACCCTCCCCTCCCCACCGCCGGCGTCCAAACCCCCCTTCCCGCGCCAGGCCGCCAGCGAACCCAAATCGCCTCTCCCCTTGCCATTTCCAACCCCTTAACCACCACGCTGAAACCCCAAAATTAGGGAAAAAAATCCCTAAAATCAAAATCTAGGGTTTTGATTTTGGGGGTGGTGGTTTCGGGCTAAAGTGGGCAGCGGCAATGCGGGGGAGGGGGTCTGGGCTACCGGCGAAGGGGTATCTGGGGTGGTTGCCTGATTTTCGGCTCAGATGGTTAGGCGGGGAGGGGTTTTTATGGTCTAAGGCAGGGAGGGAAATCCGGAGCAGTGGTTCAGGGGATGGGGCAATCACCGGCGCGGGGTTAGGGGGAGGGGTGGCGCCGACGCAGTAGGGAGGCTGGGCAGGGTGGCGGTTTTGGGGAGATGCCTGGCTTGGGCTTTGGTGGTCGGCGGAAGGTGGCTGGTTGGGTTAGAGGTGTTTTTTTTTTTTTAATAATTAATTAAATAATTTAAAAAATAACCAATCATGCTGCCACGTGGCTTAATCAATCCTAATGACTAACGGCAAACTCCGTTAGTCATTAAGGGCATTTCGTGACATTTTTGTGAAACTCAAGTATATATGGTGAATTTGAAATTTTTTATGGATATATGGTGAATAAAAAATTAACTCAGGAGTATATGATAAAAAATCCGTATATTTTAAGTTACGTACAAATACATTAAAAATTTTACAAAAATTGATATTTTATGATTTGTTATGAATGTAATAAGTTTATTTTGTGATTTTTGAGTTTATAGGGATCTAAATTGTTGGCAAATGTAGCCCGTTATGATGGATTATAATAGTCATATCTGACTTCTAAAACTCCAAACCTGGACTTCAATTGTCAAATTTGACCATCTAGACCAATTTTCATACTGGTAATTGATAGTTGGATCACTTGATGGTAATTGCAGTTGTTAGGTTAAAAACTTATTTGACAGTGGAGTCGCTTGATGCCCATGGGCCAATTTGGTGGCGGTGTTTGTGGTTCACTTATTAAGAGTTTGATGGTCTCGATGGCTGACTGGCTCGAGTTCCACGGATGGTGGTGGTAGCCTGGGTTGCTATGACAGATAAGTGGTGGGGTTTTATTATATGGGTCTTAAGCTCATAACCTTATAACGATAGCAAGTGAAACTGAAATTGCATCCCCTATTAACTTGTTCCAAAACTCTGTTACGATTTTAGTAAAACAGAGTAGTAATAATTGTAAACAAAGCCTAAACTTAAGAATTACAAAGTAGCACAATTAATCAAGCAACAAACGAAAGAGAAATAATACAGATTATGTAAATACGAACAAGAATGCTGACAAAGTGACAATATAGAATTTCACATAAGACCAAACTCAGACAAATTGCCCATCAACGTTTTCTACGAGCAGAAAGATCCCTACCTATTCTCAGAAAAAATAGTGTTATAATAATAGAATAAAATATTAGTAATAACAATTGATTTTTCTAGCTTTCCTTCTAAAACTCCAGAGAAACTTTTGCCTATTTGAAAATGTAGTAGATCTAATGAAGGAAAGAGAATCAAGAGGAGACTCGTCCTACTCACTACAAAAATCTCTCTATGTATCACCAACTCCGAAAGGGGATATGGTACAAAAATCACTCCTACTTTGGAGGTGGTGCAGCCCCTTGGCGGAGGCCACCTCTTCCACCACCATTCTGGTAAACAAATCCATCCCCGTTGCGGTTGCCTCGAGAAGAAACTTCCCCGTTACGCCTGCCATTGTCACTTCTTACATATCCACGACCACCATTTGAAAAGTTGCCACGACCCCTGAAACCATCATTCCTGAAGCCATTTCGCCCAGAGGGATACGTGCTCACGCCATTGACAACTACAGAAAACAATAGAACATCAGATTAACAACCAATTTTTGTTGACTTTAGTAAGTTCCCCAACAGCAAAAACTGTATACTACGTAAAATGTAGCATGATGTGCTTACCTTTAGTACTCGTTTTCTTCTCTTCAATAAAAGCTTCTTTCCCACCAATATTAATGTAGCCCAACTGAAAAATTAAATAACACATCAGAATTAGACAATATGTAACAAGGAATCTCTGCAGCTGCCCAGAAGTATATGAATCCACACATAGTGATCAGATTATCTATAAGCCTATAGTTAAGGCGAAATCTTAAATGACACATCGTTTTCTGGTAAAAGTTTTTCCCATTTTTATCCTTTTATTTTACTCCCTCCGTTAAATGTTATGTGCAACTTTTACATTTCAGGATGATCAGGGTTATGTGCAACTCTCTGTTTTTTTTCTATTTTTAATAAACAAAAACCCTAGAAATTACATATTTACCCTTACTTGAAAATTTTGATTTTCTTAATTTTACCCTTAAATTATTTTAATCACAATAACCTTTTTAGTCTAATCTAAAATCATTAACCCAATTCTACCCATCCCATTTACTCATCTCCTAGTCTACCCACCACCCATTCATCTCTTTCCTCAACCTCTCTTCACCTTCACCCTCTTCATCTCTTTCACCTGCACGAGTCACGACCACCGCCCCTCCCACCACTATTCTCTCTCCTCCTTCACGACCACCTTCCACCCCACCACCGTCTTTCTCCTCCCTATGACCACAGCCTTTAGATCCCACCACCACGAATGATCCTCTTCATCTCTCCTCCCTCATAAGTTTTGGGTTTTCATGTTCTAAGTTTCGATTTTCCGGGTTTTGAGTCCCTCCCACCACCATTCAATTTTCTGAGTTTCAATTTTGTGGGTTTTGATTTTGATTTTTTGGGTTTTGATTTCGAATTTCTGAGTTTTGATTTTCCGGATTTTGATTTCAGTTTTCTGGGTTTTGATTTTCAAGGTTTTGATTTCGATTATCTGAGTTTTGGCTTTCTGGGTTTTTGGGTTTGGGATTTCTGGGTTTTTAGGTTAGGGAGGAGGCTGCCAGAAAAAGGAGGGAAAGACGGGGGAGGGGGCTGCCGGAAAAGGGAGGGGAAGACGAATTAGGGGTTGTTTGTTTGGGGATGGTGGGTTTTCGTGAGGGTGGGGGTGGTTTTGTGGGGGTGGGGGTGGTAGTGGTGGTAGTGGTGGTGGTGAAGGCGGCGGTGGTATTGGTGAAGGTGGTGTGGGTGGTGTTGCCTGGTCTTGGTGGTGGCAATGGGTTTTGATTAATTAATCTCTCCACCTTAATTACATACCACAAGTTGCTTAACTTTCTCTAATCTTTGCCCCTTAACTTTTGCATTGGCAACCGCAAACCTCCATTTTGTTGCACATAGCATTTAACGGAGGGAGTAATTGTTACTAAATCTTAACATATATACCATACCAATTCATAACTATCAACAAGGAAAATAATATTTTTTATATTATAACAAATCTAAAGTTATGGAAAAAAAAATTCCAACCAAAAAATGTATGAACTAATATATCATTTTGAAAACTAAAATTTCTTAAGAGTATATAACTTCTTATTCAATTAATCCTATTTTTTCACGCAAAAAATGTGAGACATAATCATATGTCAATTGTTTTATTTAAGTTTTAATATAATGTACTGTATTTTGAGTTAATTGTAAAAATAAATCTTAGTAATATCCGTGCATGAACAAGATCTAAACTAGTTCTTTATATACAACAAGAAAATGGAAAGGTACAGCCTAAGGACCCAACTAAGTTCATTTGCTCAATTATAACCTTGCATAATTGAATTGTACTAGGACTGTTTTTACTCTTCGTAGTTATAGGAATGTTCTCCTTGATATCTAGGTATAGAGAGATACTTAGATACCCAGGAGAACATTCCTAAAACTACAAAGATCAAAAACTAATAACTTCTGACATAAATCAAACAATGAGCTTCATCTAACAAGGCAGCCCCCAAAAGAACAATCTACATCCATATAAAAGATATTAGAGCTGGTAAATAATCATGGAGGTATACAATCTTCATGCTGGAAATTTTAATATTCCAAAGGAATCCAATAGCTAGTTCATGAATACCCCAAAAGATAATTATTTATAACCAAAGAGGGGGAAAAGCAATGGGAAAAATAAAAAACCAAAGTATTTGGTTTTATAAAAGCATAGCATGGGAAGCTATTAGAGCAGCAGGGGTAAACAAGCAGGTGGAAATTTTAAAATTCCAAAGAAATCCAACAGCTAGCTCATGAGTACCCCGACAGTGATTTCTTTATAAGCAAATAGTGGCAATGCAAAAAGAAACAAGGACAAACAGAGTCCAGAACGTACTTCGATTGCCTTCTGTTTCGCAGTGGCATCTTCATACTCAACAAATCCAAAACAATAACCCTGTAGCAAGCAGAAGCACAGAAGGAAAGAGATTTCATCGATAACATGCTTAAAATAGCTAGATAAAAAAAGTACATCTTGATTACAATAAGGTGCTTTTAGGCAAGAAAATACGCCTTCATGATTACATACCTTATTTGATCGTACTTGAATGCCATTGTGTTTGATGCGTCCAAATTTTTTGAATTCCTGCTCAATTTGAGCCGGAGTTGCATCGAAGGGCAAATCTCCAATATATACAGAATGACCCTTTTCTGCACATTTTCATTACAGAGTGTTAAATATTTATCATATCATAATTACTATTCTATTTTATAATATTAGACAAATGGAAATATAGTAAAGTTTAAATAATTGACACTTTGACTGTAGTACCTTCGGATTGGACAGCTGTATTACCATTGCTGCCATTAGGAGCAGATGATTCAGATACAGTTGCAGACACTGGAGCAGCAGGACGAGTTGGTTGTACAACAGGAGAGGCTGCTACATTCTTCTGTGGTGCCTTTGAAGTTGGAGCCTTAGCGGCAATAGTAGGTCTTTGCACAGGTGTCTTAGTTGCACCCTCATTCCCATTCTTAAGCTGAATTAAATCAAAAAATAACAAACGATCAGCATCAATAATAAAGATCCAACATAATCACATAGAAACAAAAACTTACAAGTGATGCATATGACTTCTTAGGAGCATCCACATGACCATTAGATAAAGTCTCAGCCACTGGTTGGACTTTAAGACCAGAGTCAACAGAGGCCTGAGGAACAGCCTTCTCAGTGACAGTCAATTTAGGTTCATCTTCGGATATGCTGATTGTTTTTGTCACATCCTCTGCAACTGGAGCATGATTTACAGTAACGTTTGAGGTTTCGATAGTGTCTGTAATGAAGCACAACATTTAGCATTGCAGAAATCAGAAACAACCTCTCCATAGAGGCAAAAAGGCAAGAAGATTATGACAGCGATGAAATAAAAGCTTACCTTCAACGGGAACCACAGGAGATGCTGGTGCACTTTTATCAACATCCTTCTCTTCTACTGAATTAACCTCTGGCGTGCTGTCTTCCTCAATAAACCTAAAAGTGTCATTGAGTACGAAAAAACCACCTTTGTTTTGAGGAGCTAGAAAGAATGACTCGGTGAAGTTCCTCCTCACATTGTCCTTTCCCGTCAAACATCCAGTCACTAATACGATCACTCCATTCATGTAAGAAGCTTGTGCATCGGCTGTCAATATCTCTACTTTGTAATCGGTACAATCTAAGGAGAGGATAAGACCCTTAATTCCCTGTAACATAAATTGCATTAGATCATATTGCCCAATTAGAAACATTGAAAAAAAAATACCCCAAACAGGCAAACACCCCTTAAGTTTTATTGGAACAATAATCAAGCCACAAAGATAGTACTATAACTATATAGTATACAATAAGTCAATGAGAAAAAAGTGGAAAAACAACAGAATTTCTAAACCACCAATCCACCATTAGATGATTCTACATCATAAGTATGACTTCAATGAATTTTCTCTATCAATACACAATATAAGCCATTACAAGACCTATAATTTATACATTTCAGATAACTGGTTGATCCTATCTACTAGTCTAAAGTACCACTCCAGGCAAGGAGATATAATAAGAGAGGCTTACTTCCATCGCAGTCACAGTCGCCAATGCTCCATCAGGGCCTGGTCGACTCATTGTGCTTGAATCTTGATAAAACCGGTAGACAAGCTCCGGTGACTGATGCAAAATTTTGTAAAACTGACCGACGAAAGCATTCCCCACCGTTTCCGCACTGAAATCTGAGGAAGGGGCATCCGTTTGTGCAGCCATCTCTGAAAAATCCAATTCAAATGTACACAATCAATCACAACACTACATTACATACAGAAAACCCAATATCCGGGTCGTCAATCAAAACCAATATCATGTTCATAAATCAACATAATAAGTCTTGATGAATTAGGGTTTTAGAACTCAAGTATACACCAATTGTACATGTATCTTTAACAGAAAACACAAGATCTATAAACAAGACAATAAGCAACACCGACACAAAGTAATTAACTTTCATCTACTTACATTGTGGACTAAGAACACAAACTATATCTAAACCCTAGATTCAATCAGGCTGAACTCTAAACTCTAAACCGGGATCATATCATAGTTCCGTCCTAACACTAATAAATTAGGGTTTTACATCACATTAAACAACCAAATTTGACTCAATTATCAAATTAATTTCTTCTCGCTCAAAGATTTGAATTTGAATAGAAAAAAAATATTACAAACAATAGTTCAATAATCAATCGAACTCAGAAGAACCCTAAACTGAATTAAAACCCTAGATTGTGAAATTGATATTCGATTAATAAAAAAGATAAATCAAACCTGAAGAAGCTGCTGAGGAATTCAGAGTAGACTGGTAGATTGAAGAACACAATGAAGCGACGAGAAAACGTTGTGTTCCGTATTTTAAGAGTGTATTGCCTAGCGACTTGTCACGAGACGAGGCTGCTCGATATATATATGCAAAGCTACTAGGTTAAAGCCTCACTTAATTTAGGAAACTAAGCTTAACAAGGAAATTTAATACCTAGTACGGACTAACAAAAGATATTACTCCTACTGGTACCAAACATCCTTACACTACCCTACCCTCCGAGAGGTGATGATAAAAAAAAACAAAAAAAATAAATAAATAAAAAATAAATAAATTGGGTCGGGTTGAGCCTGAGTATGAAATTTTATTCCCAAACATATATAGTTTTTGATTTATCGGGCCAAACTAGATTTTTCGGATTAGACTCGGATTTTAAACTAAGATTGTGTTTTACGCTTGTCTAAATCCGCACCTCTTTTTTTTTTCTTTCCCTTTTTTTTTGAAAAGGAAAGATTACCCCGTAAATCCGCACTTTCTTTGGATTGGGGTGAGTTGGACCATTGTTGATCACCTCTAGATTCTTGAATGCGTTACTTTGTGAAAGGTGTAAAGAATTGTGATTTTAAAAGAATTTTGGTAAAGTGTTCATTAATTGATCAGTCATTTGATGATAGGATGTACGAGTAGCAATGTTGTCTAATTCGATCTTATCTTAAACAAAGTAACAATTAACCTCAATAGGTTTTGTTTGCTTGTGAAACATCACATTACACCTTATAGGATGGTCATGTGAATTATGTCTTACATCGAGATAAAAACAAATAAAATAGACCTCAACTACTGTCATTCACAATTAGTATCAGGCAATAGGCACTAATTCAACAGAGGAGAGAAAAGATAGCGAGTTTTTCCTTTTCTTCCAATATACTAGAGAGAATTCCAAAATAACATATTAAATACGTTTTAGCTCAATAAATCGTATTTTTATTTTATTTAGCCAGTGAAAAAAGATATTTACAATTTATTTAGCCAATGAAAAAAGATATTTATAATTTATTTAGCCAAATGATAAAAGAAATTTAAAATTATTTTTAGAGGAACTTCCGTGTATACTTCATCCTCCAAGTCTCAATGTAGAAATGCGTTGTGCACAATCATTTGATGATGTTATAAATTACGAGGACCTTCGTTACAGATACTTCATTAGTTAATGTCAATAACAAAAAATCGTCAATTGCCAAAACCAACGTCTTTCCCCTTCAACTAAGGCCTTGTTTAGTTCAACTTATTTTTACTTATTTCAGAAAAAATAAGTTCAGATCAGATCAGATCAGAAAAAATAAGTTCATATCAGAACATCGTTTTATGTGCGGTTTTTTATCGCTAAATATTCTTAATTCCGTAATGAAAAAAATTGTGAAAATTACATATTAATAAACTACACATTATTACGAATCTAACAAGATCCCACTTGATATATTTTTTCCTTATAGATTATCGTACACTTAAGGTCAAAGTTTGGTCAAATCAGACAATCAGATCAGACCAGACCAGATCAGATTAGTAAAAATAAGGTGAACCAAACAAGGCCTAAGTGTTGTTTAGTTTCAACAAGCGATTTGAAATTTTCTGATATTCTAATTTTCGAATCGAATCATCGGGTTTCGGATCAGATTGATTTTCAAATCGAATCATCGGGTTTCGGATGAGGACGTTGAATTTTTTGAAAAATATCTGATTCAAAACTTTGATTTTTTTTTTTCAAAAGTAGTGTACAACTAGCCATTTGAGAGGAATTATTAACGCGGCCTTTTATGTCCTATGTCATTTGCATGACATTTTTGTTATAACTATTGGATTTTTTAATGTAAACAGACAAACCTTTGTCCGCTTCTCCCATATTGGACAAACCTATAAATCTGCCCATATTGGACAGAAGTTTACCATTTTTTGCCCATAATGGACTGAGTTTACGGGCAACCGGTTATTCAAGTCAACATTACCCATGTTGACCTCTAAAATAAAAAAATTAATAAAAAAAAAAAAAAAAAAACTCAAACCCCCAATCCACTGCCAACCCCTCCTTCCCTGACCTCATTGCCAACCACCCCTCCTCCCTCCGTCTGACGGCTACCAGCGCCCAACCCACCCCCAGCGCCGACAACCCCACCCTCGAACCCTAAACCACCTTCTCGAAACCACCCTCCTACACCACACAATTCACCCCTCAATGAAGATTAATCTCACTTGTGTTCGAATTTCAATGCTCAAATTCCTGTTTTGGTTGTTTTAAAGTGATTGATATGATATTCTTTTTTTTTGGTTTTTTTTTTTCGATTTAAAGTTCATGATTTCATTCTAATTCATATATCTGATATTCATTTTAATTTTCGTTTTACTTCTCAATTATTTATATCTGTGGGTTTTTGGTGTGGTTGCTCTATGGGTGTTTGGTTTTCATGTTATAATCTCTGATTTTATCATTTTTTTTTGTAGTGTTAGTTGTTGTTATGTTGATTTGTGGGTGGTTGATTCGGGAGCGTGGGTGAGAAGGGGTGTGGGTTGCGGCTGCTGTGATTGGACATCATCGCACCTGATTATTAATTTCACTTCCAGCCCTTTTCATCTTCCTGTGATAGGTGGTTAATGTTTATCATATCGGTGGAGTGGCGGGATGGTGGAGTTAAGACCTGAGAGGTGGTGCGGGTTTTCGGTGTAGGTGGTTGCTAAATGAAAGAGGTTTTTGGGATGTGGTGTCGAGCTAGTGGTGGGGGTGAGTTTTCGATTAAGGGGTGGAGTTTATATGGGTCGCCGGAGTTGGGTTGCGAGGTCAGCTGGGGTTGGACAGCGCAGACGTGTGATTTTGTCGGGGAGGTTATATGGTGGGTCAGGTGGTGTTCGGTGTGTGGGGTCAAGTAGTGGCCAAGTGGTCTGGTGGGAGGGAGTAGGGTTGGGAGTTCGTGGTGGAGGTTAGGTGGGGATCAAGTGGTGGTTGTTATGGTGGTTATGGAGAGGCGGTGGTGGTGCTGTTCTTGGAGGTGTTGCTGGAATTTGGTGGTGATGTTGTGGTTGTTCTTTGTTGTGGGGGGTGGCTGGCAGTGGGGTGAGGGGAGGGGGGCTGGCAGTGCGGTGGTTTTGGTTTTTTTTTTATTTCTTTTTTTTTTAAAAAAAATTATCAAAATTTAAAAATTAAAAAAAAAAAAACTTGATCAATGATTTAATGACAAGTAGATTTTTACCTGGTATAACAAGTAGGGTGACCTGCTTGGTCCATTTTGGGAGAAAAATGCAAATTTCTGTCCAATATGGGCAGATTTATGGGTTTGTCTAATATGGGTGAACCGGCCAAAGGTTTGTCTGTTTATGTTAAAAAATTCATAACTATTTACATATAGGTGATAAATGTGTTGAATGTTGTGCAGCTTTGTAATGTTCGAAACTTTAGTAAAGAAACTTTGATTTAGCTAGGGAACGGTAAAATAAAAATATCGAGTTCTAGAAATATAAATGTCTAATAAAATTTAAGTACTTATTGAGACAAATTGAATAAATTAAACAAGACATCACACAATTTTATACTCTGTAATCCTTATACTCAATATATATATATATTAAAATTAATTTATAATACTTTTAAAATAGTGTTTCAATTCTAAATAGAAAAAACAAAAAGAATGGAGAGTAAAAGATGACTTTAAAAATTAAACACACGTTTTTATTTATAAAAATTAATCAATTTAGGGGATTTAAGAGACAATTTAATACTTTTAAAATCAAATGAGGGCAAATATGTAAATTAACATTTTTAGGGACATAAATGTCCATGCATTGTTCATAAGAGTTTTGTTATATCAATAACTTAATACTAAAACAGACACCGAGAATGACACATGTTACTTCCTGGTGTTTTTTTTCCCTCCAAAATACCTCAGTCCTTTTTTTTTTTTTTTTATGCCACCTACTATATATAATCATTAACAACATAATACTAAAACAAACACCAGGAATGACACGTGTCACTTCCTGGTGCTGTTTTTTCCCTCCAAAACACCCCCTCCCCTTTTAGCAAAAAATCTTTTATTTTTGGAAAATTTGTATAATACAACTACAAAAATATTCCAAATCTTTACATAAAAATATATATATATATATATTATCTTTACATAAAATGTGTTTCTTTTTATTTCGTATTCTTAATTCTTCCACACACATTTACCTAAAATATTATTCTAACTCTTTTTTAATTATAGAAAAAGTGAACCACTGGTTCAGGTACAAGATACAATCAATACCGCCTGGACATTTTTTAGCCGGAGTATTATTGAAATTTTGCCCTAAAAGTAAGAATAAAATTGATTCATATAATTGATATTAAAGAAATTACTTTAAAATATCACTTTAATTTTTTTTTCAAATACCTCTAATATTTTGTTTCTTAGACTAATGGAGTATTACATATGATCAACAATTATATCATATGTCTAATTCTAGGAAAATATGAATTATCAGTCAATTTTTTGCTATTACGTAATTAAATAAATTTATATCTTAGTACATAAAAGAAAAATTATTGTCTTTTGTTGAAACATGTTATTGAGATGATAAATCTATTACATTTGACATTGTAAATAAATTGCATAGTAAAAGACACATCGGACATAGTGACAAGTGACATCTTCTTGTGTATCATTTTTTTTCAATAAATAACTATCATTTACAATTAAACTTTTAAGGCAATAAACAAACAACGATTAAACTACCATTTTTGGATAGCTTCGAAAATATTTTTATATAATACTCCCTCCAACCCCCAAATGTTTTTCCCAAGCCATTTGGACTGTGCACGTTTGTCAATGCAACACTTTGACCATAAATATCGTTAGTTGTTTATCAGTGAAAAATGTAACAATTGAATATTAATAATTAATTCATTGAGAAGAATCAAATAAGACCCAATTTGACAATATTGTATATTATATATTAAGAGTAATTTAAAAGATTCTTTCACCTTATGAATATTGTCAAAATTACTAATAGGAAGAAAAAAAGGGACAGAGGGAGTAACAAAGAGCGACGATATCATGTAGAGCATCAATTTATAAACAAAAAATGTACTATTAATAATAAGGTTAGTGTTGCTTAATTGTTGATTATAATTGCCTTTAATGATACGAGTACAATTGATTTCCATTGAAATTATTTTATTGATAAAGGTGATATATTATTTGTAATTTATATATTTACAT